TGTACAGTGATCCCTTTCTTTTCTATCCCACTGTAAAAACTTCCTACGACCTGTCATTCTACACCTCCAAAACATCCTACCCCAAGGAGGGAAGAAAGGCCACAAATGTTTTCAGGACAACAATTAGAGCAATGCTGCTTCAAACTGTTTGGGCAGTGATATACTGGTAGCCAAGTACTTTGCACTGGAATGAAGAACATACTCAACTAGGAAACAAAACTATTTTTGTTATGTATGAAGTTCTTTCTAAGGATCTATGATATTAATTATGATCTTCTCTATTCAATTCCATTCTGACTTTTTTTTTCAGTACTAGGTATTGAACCCAAGGCCATGTACATGGTAGGCAAATGTCCTGCCATCAAGCTACATCCCTAGCCATGACTTGTGTTTTTTGTTTGCTTTGTTTTTAAATTCATTAAGTTTATTGGTACATTTTAAGTATACAATATGATGACATTCACCTTTGGGAATTTGTACCTTTACACGATGTATCTTGGTTCTTATTTTTTTTCCCCATTCCCCTGCCCTCCTTCAACTCTAGCCCTTCCTATTTACGAAGACTTTGTTTCCATTTTTTCCTTTTCTCATATTTATCCCTTTCCCTTCTTTTCCCTATCCCTCCCATTTCCCTATAGCCTTCTCTTTGGACCTTTTCTTCCTATTTCACATTATCTATTATACATTTTGATTCTCATTTACACTTTCAGTTTCTCATACCAGAGAAACTAGTCAGTATTTACACGTTTGCCCTATTTATTTCACTTAAAGAGTATGGCCAAAATGTGTTTCCATTTAGCTAGGAATGTCTGTAGTTGCTCATTCTTTATGGCTGAGTAGTACTCCATTTTATTTTTTTAAAAAAAACACATCTTCTTTATCCAGTCTCCAGTTGATGGGCAATTGGGTTATTTCCAAGATTTAGCTACTACAAACTGTGCCACTATAAACATGGGTGCACATATATCACTGTGGTATGATACTTTTAATTCTTTTGGGAAGATACTCAGCAGGGGAATAGCTGGGTCAAAGGGGACCTCTAATCCTTGCTTTTTGAGTTAATCTTTATTTTGATTTCCAGTGTTTGTACCAGTCTACACTCCCACAAGCAGTGAAGCAGGGTTCCTTTTTTTCCACAGCCCCGCCAGCATTTGTTATTGGTTGATTTCACGATAGCAGCCATTCTTTCTGGGGTGAGGTGGAATCTCAGCGATGTTTTCATTTGCATCTCTCCAAGGACCAGTGATGTTGAACATCTTTTCATATGTTTATTTGCTACTTCTACTTTGTCTGAGAAATGTCTGTTCATTTCAGATGCCCATTTTTGGATTGGGTCTTTAAATCTGGGAAGTCTGATTTTTGAAAGTTCTTTATATATTCTATATAGTAGACATTTGTCTGAGGAACACCTGGTAAAAATTTTTGCCCACATTGTGGGTTGTCTCTTCACACTGTTGGTTTCTCTTGCTGTGCAGAAGCTTTTTAATAAGATGAGATCCCACTTGTTGATTCTTTGTGTAGTTCACATGCAACTGAGGATTTGTTCATCAAGTCTTTTCCTATCCCAATGTCTTCAAGAGTTCTACCTAACCTTCCTCCCAGGCGGTTTAGTGTTTCTGTTTTAATATTTAGATCTTTGATCCATTTCAATTTTAGTTTAGTGCATGGTGAGAGATATAGGTCTAGTTTTAATCTTTAGCAAGTTGAAACCTAATTTTTCCAGCACCATTTATTAAAGAGGCTATCTTTCCTCCAGTGAGGGTGTTTGGTTCCTTTGTTTTTAAATGCTAATACTGGCCCACCCAGTTGACTTCGCAGTCATTAAAGGGTCATAACTCACAGTCTGAAATCCTGTGGATGCCATGGATGGCCCCGAAGTCACCTGTGGGCATGTTCTTTCCTGATCTGGCTCCTCTGCACCCATCCTACCACCTCCGAGCCTGAAACACTCATCAATTGCATGGACCTTGAGGCAGGCAGGTCTGAGTCCTAGCTGTGGGCAAACTGCAGCACACGGACACTCAAGGGTGGCTCCAGACACTGGCCACTGTCGGCAAAAGCTCAAGAGGTTTCTGCGTGCACAGCACCTGACCAGACCGGGGCTCCTCACCCCAACCCAGGCCTCCTCTGGCTGCCCACGTGTGCCACACTGAGGTTGGCCTGAAGCGGTCTCATGTTTCCTATGTGTCTTCCTAGATAACTTCTTCCACTTCAGTCTGTCCTCCTCAACCTGCTACCCAAAGGGCCTGACCTCAGCCTGTCCCGACACGGTGTCCACCACATTCCAGTTCACGATTGCGATGTCCATTCTGTGAAGCTGTCGCTTAGGGCCTTTCATGTAACCAGAGACTAAGAAAAATCTGACATTGGCTCACAGGTGTATTACAGGCTGCTTCTAAACTAGATTTCATCAGTGGAAAATGGTGATAGTTTTTCCTTTTTTCGTCAGTTTTCTGTTGGGAAGAGTTTTATACTGTTTAAAAGATATTCTGAACAATTTAACCTGATTTATGGGCTCAGTTTGTTCTTTCATCCATTCTTTTTGTGCCTCCCTCTCTGTAAAGAACTGTTTATTTATTTTTAGGGTGATTATTTTTCTCTTTTTTAAAGAGTTGTGCAATACATTTTGCGGTGAAACTTAATGGATTTTTTTCTGATAAATTACAGCATTTAATTAACTGTTACCCACACTGATTTGCTGAGTATCTGGTAAAGACCTTTTAAGCTACAACATCAGATTAATCCCAAATGGCAGTGCCTCATTGTTTACTTACCTTTTGTACTTGTACTTTTCAGAGGAAAAAAATACCACTGTAAACTGTAAATAAGCAATATGAACTGTATTACATGCAAATCTGTGACTGTTGATAACATCATCTCAGAGGAAAAGATAAATAAAGCTTATCTACTATAAAAAAGACGTTCATAAAAAAAAAAAAAAAAAAGACTTTCATTCTGACCACTTTTCCCAAACAGAGCCTCTATTACCACCACCACCTGTGGGCTCCCCTGGTCCAGAGACACCTGGCCAAAAATATGGCAAATACAGCCTTCTGGGGAAAGCTCACCACAGGCTGGAATGAGGGGCATAGTGGAGCTGCTGAGAAAAACTACAGAAGTCAACATAGGGTAGTTCTGACCTCAAGCTCTGTGCAACGTTTCAGTAAAAAATAACAATTCTTGACCAACTGCTGGTCAGTGTACAAAGCAGGGAAACATGCCAAGTCTTCCAGGGGGCAAGGCCCATGAGGGGCCACTAGGTCAGTGACTGTCAAACTTAACATCCTGGCACTAGAACCCCAGGAAGTCATCCTAGTCTATGAGGAACTGCTAACCCATAAAAAGGAAGCAATAATTTTGTTTTATAATTCAGATGTCACTTGATAATAAGTTCTCCAACAGCTAAGTAGCAGCAGATGACAAATTTTATAGTAACAATTATGGAAGAAAATGTTATAGTTGCAGAATTCCATGCAATTAGCCCAGTCTGCTTTGTACACTGGAAAGACACCCAGACTCATTCAGCTGGAACCTACATATCAACCCAGTTCCTGGAGCTCCAGGCTAACAGAAAGAACAGTTATGTGGACCTCTGCCAATACCCAGTCTTGAATGAGTAGGATGGATGCACTAGTCTGGATTTGAATGTCCCCCAAAGGCCTGTGTGCTGAAGTCTTTGTCCTCAGGCTGTGGCACTAGAGGAAGGTGGTAGAAACCTTAGGAGGGGGAGCCTAGTAGGAGGAAGTTAGGTCACTGAGGGTGTTCCTTCAAAGGAGACATGGGGTCCCTGGTCCCTCCACCTTTGCCTCCTGGCCACCATGAACTGAAGAGCTCCTCCTGCTACGTGCTCCTCCCATGATGTACTGCACTGCCACAGGCCAAAGCAACAGCCCAAGTGACTGTGGATTGAAACCTTTGAATTGATGAGAAAATAAACCTTTCCTCTTTTTAAGTTGATTAGCTCAGGTGTTTTGACCCAGCAATGGAATGCTGACTAGCACAATGAAGTTTCCAAAACACAAGAGGTAGCAGGCGAGAACAGCACAACTGATGGATGGTATACGCGAGAGAATTACCAGCAAAGGTAAATGAACGATTGCAGGTCTTCACGATTCACTCAGCACTAGTGTCACATGAGCCAAGGGACCCTTTATATACTCCTTGGCAAGTAACCACTTGGGCAAGGCCCGGATGTGAATCGAGCTGCGAAAACTGCTCTTTCATTAACTATATTGCCTGGAGAGCCTACTGAGGACAGTTGAGCCTTCATTAATGAGATGCACTAGGGGTAACCCCATCTCAGAGTACACCATTGCAGGGATGTGGCACTTTCAATAAAAGCAGATACAACTGCTCTAAACCTGCACTCTGAAAGTATCCTTCAACTGATATTAAAAGGTAGGTATACTGGGGACAAGCATACATGGGCACAGTGGTTATCCAAACCCCTGAAGCAAATTATTAATAAAGCTCCCAACACTGCATACAGCACATTAACATAATATTAACCAACAGGAGCTCAGGGCCACAGCATCTCATTATCACTCCACTGATGAGCTACAGGCCTGTGGGGTCTCAGGAGCAAAACCTGTTGAGGAGCGTAACAGCCCCAGTGAGGAGCTCTCACTCATCACCGGCCTCCTTCCTGCTGAGGCCTCCATCCTCACTGGGCCAGAGGAAAAGCTGCAGAGCCCACCCCCACCAAGGCCAATCAAGCAGCCCGAGCTGCACTCACAGGCAGGAAGCATCAGTCACATACCAGCCCTGGGGCGAGTGGGCAGAGCTGGAACCCTGCAAGTGGACTGTTCCCCCATGGAAAACAACCAGCCCCCAAAGCTAATGCAAGGGCACCCACTGTTACCTGCTCCTCCACCTTGCAATGTGACTGGCTCTCCTCCCACTTCTGCCTCCACACAGACCCCAGGATGGCCCTAGTTTCCCTCGGCTGGGAGTGCCATGGCAGGGAAGGTGAGGCAGCACAGGGCACGCGGCCTGCTTACCTCCGAAGTTGGCCAGCCGCCCAATCCGCGTAACTGGCACCTTCCTCTCCCGAGCCCGCTCACTGAGCTAGAGGGAGAAAAGACAGAGACTTGTACGATCACCAAATGGGGACAAGACCAGCCTCAACAGTTCATGCTGCCCCTCACACTCCCTCCTCATCCCCAAAGGCAGCACACTTCATCCAGAAGAGCCCCCACGTTCCTACAGACCCCTGACCACAGCATCTAGAAAAGGTCCCCAAACAGGAAGCCAATGGCAGCATCCCAGGGGGTGGGAAGTGCCCTGCCCTATGCCAAGAGGCCTCCCTCCCTACGCACCATCTGCTTGTGTGGCTTGCTCTCGGGGCGGGCCTTGGCCTGCCGGGCCTTTTCAATGTCCTCGGCTGTGAGACCCCCCATGGGGGACTGGTCCTGATGGAAGAACCTTCGCTGGAAGCCAAGGGCAGAGAAAAAGTCTCTGGAGTCTGCAAAGAGCCTCCTGTTGACGCTGCCCAGTGGGGCAGCGGCCTGGCCTGGGAGCCCAGCTTCCCTAAATGGTCCACTGGCAACATAGGTGGGAGCCGGGCCCTCACTGTGAGTGTGATGCACAGATGGAGACTGGTCAGTGACGGAGGCTGCAGAGAAGCCAGTGGAGGCCCCAGCCCCTGAGAAGTGGACCTCGGCTTCTAGGTCGTCGAAGCTCTCAGTGGCATAAGATGCTTCATGTTTATCTTGACCCTGCAAGGAGTAAAGACCAGCATGAGAGGGGAGAAACAAGACTGGAGCACTGCCCTGTGCCCACCACCTCTGCCACATCCATCTCCCCAACCCTCTGGAGGAACACAATGCTACCCCCAAGACCCAAGGCCCCTGCCCAGCCCGGGAGCCAGGACCCAGGTTCTAACCAGCTTCTGCCACATGGTGGTTCCAGGCAGGCAGCCAGGGCAGGGTAAACCAGGCAAAACACAAGCCAGGGAAAGCCTTCAGACATAAAGGCCACCAAAGGCCAGCCAGGGGCTGGGGGACCCACCCAACCCACCCAACCCACCATAGGCCAGCGCCTCGCTGCAGACGTGGGTTCTACCAAGCAGCAAGCCTGTGGAGTAAAGAGGTTCTCACAGGGGAAGCACGAGGGTGCAAGGAAATTTCTTTACAGAGTCACCCAGGCCTGACCTTCAGGCCCAGCTTCTTTCTACTTCTGAACCTGGAGTGACCTTAAGTGAGGTCCTAACCCTTCTCTGCTACTTCCTCATCTGAAAATAGGGCTCCCCAAAATCAGAGTGATGAGGGGTTCAGCCAAGGCCAAGGAAAGTGCCAGACAAGGCTAGAATTAAATAGCACCGAGTCCTGAAGGCAGGCCAGGGGCCTAGATCCCTGGCTGAAGTGCCAAGGAGCAGATGTTCAGGCCTACATGCTGCCCACAGATTATGCAAAAGTAGCAAGAGATCACAGGCCCTTCTATTCTCTGCACCTAAAATGCCCCAGAGCCTGGAGAGACACACGTGCCCTCCCCTCCCCAGGGGACACCCTGGCAGTTACCCTCGTTTCACAAATGGCAAAGCAAGGGTTCAAAGCCTAGGCTTGCCCTGCTGGCCATCCTGAGGTCACCTACCTTTCTCAAAGCAGAAATCACATTTAGACTCCCTGGTTCTTTCCCAGACAGCGAGGGGGGCCCTGGAGTGAGGAGTTTGGGCCAGGGTCCCATAACTCCCACGATGGCTACCTGGCCCTGGGTAACTGCTGCCAGCTGACGTAGCTGTGCCGCAAGGGGACACAGCTTCAGGAAGTACCTACTGAGTATCATGCGAAAGATGCTTAGGGAGCTCGAGGTAGGAAGCTTCTGGTGCCTCAGACCCCAGCCCTCTGGGACAAGGGAGACGCCAGACTCAAGTGCCAGGGAGTGAACGGAAGCCAAGTGGCCCCTGCTCAGGTGCCTTCCTCACTCGGTGGATCCTCCTGCCTCCAACCCCGTATCTGCCAGGGACGGCCCTGGCTCTCTCAGACACCAGCCCAGGCCTGCTGGAGTAGAGTGGCGGGCAGGAGGAGCCGGGCAAGAGGGTCCCTGCCCTCATGGAGAAGCTGCCAGGCCCAACGCACTGTCTCACTTCTGCGGCGGGGCAAGCTCACTGCTGAGGGCCCACAGGCCAAACCCCAATAGGAAGTTGGGCACAGGGCGCTGACAGGACAGGGCACTGGACAACACTGCTGGGCCACAGCCCTGCTTCAGCAGGAGGAGGGGGAGGACACGGGGTCGGGCCTGCCACTTACTAGTCATGACCTAGCAGCAAAGTGCTCAGTCTCAGCTTCCACATCTGAGAAATTCGGGTAAGCATCCAGGCCTGCCCCACCCCAGGACAAGAGAGGGGACATCACAGATATACAGACTTCCAAAAATTAGTAGTATCTCTGCAAGGGCAGAGATACTATGTTGCCATTGGATGCTTGGAGAGAGGAGGGGGAGGGGCTGTGACTTTGTCCAGAGGTCACCTGGCCGCAGGACAGAGGAAGGAAGAGGGGGCAGGGCAGCCTCTGCACACAACTCCCAACATGAATGTCCACATGCGCACGCCAGTGCCCATCTACACGCTCTCACTTGTCCCCTGGACTACCTGCAATGCTGCCAGCAACTGCGGTGACCATGGCAGGCAATGCTCTGGTGTAGCCAATATTGTTTAAAGCCACCCTTTCGATGGAAAATGTGGAGGCTTCCTGGACCCCGGCACAAAGCTGTCCTCTCCCTTAGCATGAAGGACGAGAGAGACTGGAGGTGGACTGCCCCTGCCCAGGCTGTTCCAGTGCCACCCTGGGACGGAACAGAGCCCTGCCTGAGCCAGGTCCCCAGGGATGTCAGCCAAGTGAAAAAAGAACATGAGGCTCTAGGGAGCAGGAGGGTGAGCAGGCTGATAAATGTGGCTCTGCACCCTCTGAAGCTCTTGAACCTAACCTGCACTGCGCTGGTACAGGAAGGGGTCTTTGGGAGGTGACTTGAGTTACTGCCCTTCTAAAAAATGCCAGCGAGCTCTGTCTCCCTCCTTCTGCTGTGAGGACACATCAAGATGACAACCATGTACCAATCAGGAAACAGCCCTCATGCACACCTAATCTGCTAGCACCTTGATCGTGGACTTCCAGGCCTCCAAGTCTAAGATGTTGTTACTGCAGCCACACCCTCCCTATGGGCCCTAGACAGCAGGACATGCTAGCCACTGGGCTCTCCAGCCACCTGATATCTGTGTCTTGCTTCACACCCCTTGGTCTCCCCGAGAGCTCCAAGTCTGACTTCCCCCACAACCAGCACCCGCCATGCACCCGGCTGCTGCAGAGATGGTCTGCTTACCTGCACCATCCCCAGGACCTCGCCAATCTGCTCCACAGCTGTGGACTGCAGGGCCCTGGCTGCCATGATGAGCTCCCCACCGAGGCCCAAGTGCTGCAGGTGGGTTTCCACGGCCGCCTGGGTCAGTTTGGCAAGGCCTTTGGCCAGCATGATGGCATCCCCCAACATGGCAGCCATGCTTCAGGACTGGAAGAAAGGAGGCCAAGTCAGGGAAAGAGGCTCCACATCGCGAACACTCACCACCTCCACAAACTCTGGGCAGAAGGCAACTGGCCAATTGGCTTGTCTGCTGATCAGCCCTTCAGGCCAAGCTGACTGAGAGAAAAGGAAGAGCTCAGGTCACAGTAGGCTCTGGTGTCTCCTGGCTCCTCCAGGCACCGAGCAGCATGAAAGACTGCTGAGTCTTCACTGTGGTGCACTCACCACTTGCCACATGTTGCCTCACCAGGGCCTCACAGCCACCCCACAAACACCCATGGCTCAGAGAAGTCAAGTGATTGTACAGAACCGGGACTGGCGTGATAGGTACTGACTCCTAATCTAGTGCTCTTTCCTCAGGAGCAAAACTCTGTGTTGCAGCAAGGGGCTCGGGGACTGCTCTTTTTTTTTTTGGTACCGGGGATTGAACTCAGGTCCTTATGCTTGCGCAGCAGGCGGTGAAACCACTGAGCTAAATCCCCGGCCCCATCGGGGACTGCTCTTGACAGCCCAACAGGTCCCCTCAATGGCAGCGGCGATGCCGCTTCCCATCCCTCTTACTCTGCCCAAAGAAGCCTCTGATAGATGCCCAAAGATTGAGGGACAACCAGGGCCCCGCAAGCCCCACACCTGATTCCCTTACCCAGCCCACTGCAGCTGCTTGTAGCTGCCAAGCCAGTGTTTCCAAATGGCAGCCCAGGCCCAGGGAGCAATGACCTAAGGGATGGACACTCCCACGACCCAGAGCTGGGAAGTGAGCATGAGAGCTCATGGGAGGCCCATCTGGGAAACTCTTCCTCTGTCCCTTTTCTCTCTACTGGGCCAGAGTGTAAAGTTTTTCCAAATGTAGGTCAGGATCCGAGAGCTGAACGAAACTGCAGTCTGGGTATGGCTTGGCCTGACTTGTCATTAACTAATCCTCAGGGCCAAGTGCTGGACCTCAGATAAGCCTGATACATGCTGGAGGCTGAAGAAAGATGCGTAAGTGGGAAGGACTGTGGGAGACCCCATGACCAACCAGGAGCATCCTAGCCCGGTGCTGGGATGCTAGAGATACAAGAGCCAAGAAGAGAGGGCTGTGGACAGCACTCTGGGCAGGGATCTGTGTGGGTGAACACATACAGGTGGGGAAGGGCCTGGACAGCTGGCCAGCAAGAGGGAAGAGACAGCCGGAGGGACCTCCTGGGATTCAACCTTCTCCTCACAACAATCAACAGAAGCTAGGGGAGGAAGACTGAGTAGACAAGGGTTCTTAACCAGAACTCCCCGGACATCCAAAGAGAGTCCCCTCCAGCCTATCCTTCACAGGCCCTTCAGTGATGGGGTCAGGCAGCCGCTCCAGGCATTCCTGCCAGGACTGGCTCTGCTCCTGAGTATGGGACAGAGCCACTTTTGTTTAAAAGGAGAAACGCTGAGATAATCAGAGCAACTCACTTCCACACAGGTGCTGGGAACATTAAGATGACCTACCACAATGTGCTCTTGGAGAACATGCTCCAAATGTCAGCAGCTACCGCACACTGGGGTGAGGTGCCTTCCACACATCTCCCAATCTTTATAAACCATCGGTGACACAGTTATTATTCACCCCAGTTACAAGTGGGCAAATTAAAGCCAGAGAGGTGAACCAACTGGCCAAAGTCATGCAACTCTTCAATAGTGCCCCTGGGGTCCCGCCTAGCCCTGGCCTGCCCTGTGCCTCCCCAAATGCTCTGCCCAGTGACTCACAAGGACAGGGCTCTGCAAAGGCACAAAAGGCCACCTACGTTTACACTCTGGTGCAAGGCAGCACAGTTTGGAGGAGACCATACCTTGAGAGACGGCAGAGGCAGAGAGGACTGGCCCAGCCCCTCCCTAGGTCCCATGTAACACCCTGGACTCTACTCTGTGCTCCTGAAATGGACGGTGATAAACAGATGGAGCTCCACAGACTAAATGTTAGAAAGTGTGTAATGGGAGCTCAAGTGGGCCCACCGGGCCCACCCACCCCCACCCCCACCCCCAACACGAGACACTTTGCGATCAGGGCAGGTACAAGCACCCATCAGGGCCTTCTACACCCTAGGGAAGGAGGAGATTTTGTTTATTTGTTTATTTTTTCAGTGCAAGGGATCAAACCCAGGGCAAGCACTGTGCCACTATGCTACCTCTCAGTCCCAGAGGAGGTTCTTGAAAGACATCAGGGACCGACATGTGGTGTTGGAGGCAGAAGGACCCCAGCGGGTAGCCCCAGGTCCATCCACCATACCCATGCTCCAGGGGTTCCCAAAACCAGGCCTTCCCCTCGCTCACCTTTAAGACAATCCACATGACCAGGACAGGGGTCTCCCAAAGACAGCCCCGATAATTCCAAACCCGGTCTCACCCACTACCTGATGTCCAAGCTTCCTCAGAACACCTTCCCAAGGCCTATTTAATTCAGACTTTGTTTTCAGGTGTAAAACACATCTGCCTGAATTTTTCATCCAAGTAACCACATGCTAAAGTTTCACTAGAGAAAGCCGGCAATTAATTTCTTGGCCAATTAGCCCAACTGGCCCACTGGGCTGATGGGAGTTCAACCTTTAAAAAGCCATTCCAGGGCCTGCATCCTGTCCTAACTCTTGCGGTTGCTAACTTGTTGATGCTGAATATAACTTCACAGCAGGCTAAAATCACACCTACTTTACAATGATGTTTCTTAAAACAAAACAAAACAAAACTCAAATTATTCATAAGAAAAAATATACTAAATTAACCAAAAAATTTAAATTCCTACATGTGGGGAACTATGAACAATAACTTTCCCTTTCAGTGTTGTCCTACCTTTATTTTCCTAACCTTTTAAGTTCACATACCCTACTTGCAAAATGTAAATAAATCATCTTTTTAAAAGTGCACATTAAGAGTAATTAATTATGCTATTCTTCTTGCTGAACAGGTCTCCTAGATACTGGACCCGGAGCCAGCTAAGATGAGCCCTGTTACATCCTGGAGGCTGGAGAAGGCTGCACAGGAGGTAAGGGACAGCGGGAGACCCCAGGACCGACCAGGAGCCTCCTAGCGTCTAGTGTTGGGGGAGGAGCTGGCACCAGGCCCGCTGGAGCTCCCATTACACACTCTCTTCCCAAATGTCCTAGACATTTGGTCTCTGGGGCTCCGTCTGTTTATTATCATAAATTTCAGGAGTGCAGAGTGGGGAGAAGGTCCTTGTGTGTTCCTGAGTCTTGTTAGGCAAAACTTGTTTTGCTCAAATCAACAGATGTTAGTAAAAAACACAATCTGAAGTTTGTAAGCAGATTAACACGTGGATATCAAAACCTCTGCAGCCAGCTCATACACATCCCCTTCAGCAAATGTGTTTACCTATGTCCAGGGCTGGACCAAACCACCCTCAAACTACAGAATGAACCAACCGCTCCCTGCCTTATTGACTCCAGGAGTTTTCTGCAAGGGAGTCTCTGCCCTCAAAGGAGCAGAGAGAAGGAGAGAGAGGGGACAACCACCAGAAGAACTATCTTCCAACAACTTTTCTCACCTGCTTTTCAAAACGTTACAAAAACCTTACTTTTAATTCATCATAATCCCAACATGACCCATAATCCAATGGTGATTTTTGTGCCAAATCCCCTCCAGGAATGCCCCAAAAACCAGGTACACACTGGGGAATGTTTCCAACATGACTTTAAATAAATTCAAAAACCCCAAAGCATATTTTGTACTGAAAAATGCTGTCAGGGCTACTATTTCATGCACAAGTATTAGAGTCCACACTGAGAATATCCCCCCAACCCAGCGCATCTCAGGTCCCCGGACAGGTTTGGGGGCCTTGCCCAGGAGTAGCTCAGGGGCATCAAGTGGCAGTGACTGCAAACTTAGGAAGCCACTGGGGGTGGTGGGTAGACGCTCACCTTTGGGCGTGCCCACTAACGAGGCACTGTATGAAAAAGAAAAAGTCACTCTGTCCTTCACTAACACCTCCTCCCTGCAGGCCCAGGGTCAACGCGCCTGGCTGGGGCGCTCAAGGGACAGTGGCATGAGGCACATCTATTACGGGAAGGCACCAGGGAGACAGCCAAAGCCAACTGGAGCTGACAACCGGGCTCAGAGGCAGCACCTGCCCAAGAGGAAGAGCCTGTCCTCAGAGCCCGGGCCCAGCTCACGTTCCACCACCAGCAGCCGTGTGACTCGGCCTCTTCCGTCCCTCCTTAGGAGGGCTCTGGTGATCTACCACACCCCTCCTCCGGTCCTAACGTGCTGAACTGCTATCAAGAAAGTAAATAAGAATATTCCCTAGAGAAAGAAAGAACTGGAATAAATGCAGCTTCCCAGCCCCAAGGACAGAGATTGAGAAAGAAGCACAAGGCGCCCTGGCAGGCACAGGAGTCCCCGAGCTCCAGGAGGACCTCTCCCCTGGCCACTTTCGCTCTCTGGCCTTCCTGGAGAGCTGGCAAAGGCCACCTCAGGCATGCTGAAAGGAGGCTCCCGCCAGAAGTTATCTGGGGCACGAAGACTTTCAAATCTAGTCACCAGAACTCAAAACACCCCAGGGCATGCTCACCTGGCCAGATACAGTAACTTGTGTCAGCAAGAAAGTGAGCTATATTCTTTTTCAAAATAAATAAAATGGGCAGTTCTAACAGACAGAAAGCATCATACAGCCGTCCACCCACACAGGGAAGGGAATTTTATTCAAGCAGGGAGGTTCCCACATACCTTCCCCATCCTCGGCCCCTTCACAGTCAGCACGTACCATCTGTCGAGGCACCTCTTCTGTCCCCTGGAAGGTGTCTTAATAAGAATTTACCAAGCTGTGGCTGGGGCAGTGGCTCGGTGGTAGAGCATTTGCCTGGCATGCATGAGGCCCAGAATTCGACCCTCAGCAACACAGACACAGAGACACACACATGCATGATACACACACACACACACACACACACACACACACACGTGTGTGTGCAATTTACTGAGCAACTTGATCCCCCTTGTATCTACGGAGCATCGAAAAC